TGGGCAGCTTTAGCTGCAGGCTTGGCTCCAGCTCTTAGGCCTCCGCTGCTGAAAGTAGGTTTCTGGCCTTTGCTTACAATGTTGCGATCCTGCTGGCTGAAGTCCGGCAGTATTTGTTACAATGTCTGAAACTGCAGGCTCAGAGACCTGCCTGCAGCCGCAGGCAGGGAACGTTGGTTTCCTCAGTCACTGAGGCAAGCAAGCCTCATCTTAGTTTCAAGCTGCCTGGCTGCCGGCTGCCATCTTGGCTGACAGTTAATTTGCATATCTCGCTGATTAGCCAATGAAAAGGGTAGCGGTTGTACGCCAATTACCATGTTTCTCTTTTATTAGTGTAGATAGTTCAGTATTTAGTAAGGCACTCCCTTTTTATCTGTTTGGATAGTAGCATATACCAAAATCAGACTAATATTGTCTCGTTTGCTTAGTGATTTTCACTTTGTTCTGACCGGCAGTTGGACATCCCCCAAGGGTCCCTGATTGGAGAGGGTGCAGGCTGGGCTGTGGGACCCCCCCTCTCCCCCCATGCATGAACTTCATGCACCCTGCCACTATTCTATATATATAAAAGCCTACATGACTAGCCAACTGGCTGGTAGCTATGATGCACACTGACCACCAGACGGCAGATGCTTGATGCAGAAACTGCTGAGCAACAGCAACTTTGCAGAGTGCCCTCTCACACTCTGGGACCCCTCGGGGGATGGCAGACTGCTGGTTTCAGCCCGATCCCTGCAAGCCTGGCCCAGGGAGCCCACCTGCCTGAGGGACCCCGCTCACTCCACAGATACCCTTCAAGCCCCAATGATGCCCCAGGTGCAGCCAGCTGGGGAGGGACCGTGGGATGTTGGCTCCAGGTTGTGTCTGGTCCATCTCGCCCAGTCCCGACCCACCGGCCACCTTCTGATGAATTTACTTTCAATGTGCACAAATCCATGCACCGGGCCTCCAGTTTTAGAATAAATTTCTTTGTTCCTTGAAGTTGGAAATTTAATAGTGAGCTTTAAAAACTTTGTGGCATTGATATACTTAAAAGGAAGTTTGTTACAGTTACTCTCTATTTTGGATGTTCCATATACTTACTAGAAAAAAAATGGAAAATATAGAAAATTTAAAAAACAAAGAAAGAAAAGTGCTTGTCTTATACAAAAGAACTACCGTGAATATTTATGTATAATTTTTTCTAGTACTTAAAATTATTTTTTCTTTTTATTGAATTTATTGGGGTGACATTAGTTAACAAAATTATATAGGTTTCTGGTACACAAGTTCACCACCGCAAGTCAGATCTCCTTCCATCACCATTTATCCTCCCTATACCCTTCTCTACCGCCCCCCACACCTCTTCCCCCTCTTCTAGTACTTTTAAAGCTGGATTTATTTAAAATAAAACCATCACCAAAACAATAAAACTCAAATCCCAAAACCTATATAAACCTATATAATAAAACCCTAATATGCAAATAGACCAAATGGTGGAATGACTGGTGGAATGACCAGTCGCTATGATGTGCACTGACCACCAGGGGGCAGATGCTCAATGCAGGAGTTGCCCCCGGTGGTCAGTGCATGCCCCCTCCCCCCACACACACACTTAGCCAGAAGCAGGAGCCTCTCCTACCTCCGCTGCAAGCAGGTGGTAAAGGAGCAAGGGGTCCTGGACTGCAAGAGCCCCATACTGCGAGGGATGTCTGACTGCTGGCTTAGGCCTGATCCCCCGATCCTGGACAAAGCTGCAGTGGGTGGGGACGACAGTAGGTGGACATCCCCCGAGGGGTCCTGCAATGCGAGAGGGCGCAGGCCAGGCTGAGGGACCCCCTGTTCCCCAGTGCATAAATTTTGTGCACCGGGCCTCTAGTGTAATTATGATAACACTGCATATAAAATGTTCCAACTTTTCACTTAGCATGATAAGTAGAAGTATTTCTCTAATTATAAATGCATTTATAAACATTTTGTTACAAACATTTTTATTAATTTTAGTAGTTATAAAATTTTCTGTATAATTAATTTTCCACCTACTTATTTAGTCTCTTATTACTGGACATTTAGCTGTTTGCTCTTTTCCTTATTATAAATAACTAGAGGCCCGATGCACGAAATGCCTGCAAGGGCCTTGGCCCCAGTCCCTGCCCGCTGCTGACACGGCCAGGGGACTGCCGCGGTCCCCGCCTGCTGCAGCTTTGTCCAGAAGGAAGGACCATTTTCAGTCCCCATACGGATTGCTGGATATAATAGGTCATGCGCTGTCTCTGTCCTTTGTAGCCTTTGTTACCTTAAGGACTCTAGTTTTCCATTTATATGTCTAAGTACCAACCTTACCGGCTTAAAAATGTAAGCTTTTAACACTGCTCTCTCTGTTCTGTATCCTTACGATGAAAAGTGGAGTTGGGTTGCAGCACAGGAGAGAAATTTAGAAGGGGAATATTGAAGTAATGACTACAGTAGGAGAAGAGGGAACTTGTTTCCCTGGCCATAGGTGCTGGCCCCTGGACCACAGGGCTGGCAGCTTCTCCAGGTGGCTGCAACCTGCGACCTCAGGCCGGTAGCTTGTCCATCTCCTGGGCTATAGCCAGCCCCAGGAGCTGGCGTCTGGACCAAGGTGGGCGGCTTCTTCTTCTGGGGGCTTCTTCTTCTTCTGTGCTTCCAGGGAGGGCAGTCAGTTATGTGTCATGCAAAAATAGGCATCACCAATCGCAGAAGCTGGTCCGGGGCAGGGAAGCTGCGGCTGGGATGCTGGCGGTCCCTGCCCCTGCACCTGGCTTCTGTGGTCACTGATCACAGAAGCCGGGTGCAGGGCAGGGAAGCCATGGCCGGGGATGCTGGCGGAGGCTGCTTCCCTGCCCATGCACCTGG